CAACCTTGTCAACGGGGAATACTTTACCTTTCTTTTACAGCATTTTCTGTATAGAAAGCAGTATTTTCTGCACACAAATTAATATTTCTGGTTTGAAATCTTATTTTCTATGCAGAAATGTCATTTTCCATGCAGAAAATGCTGTTTCCTGTGCAATAAATAAATAAATAAATAAAATCACATGAGAATTTTGTACATAATAAGTCCTGAACTGAGAAGATTGTTGTCAGTCCAGGATTTGTTTCATTAAGCTTCCTCAACAATTAAATAAACATGTTTTTAAAACAATTTTCCAAATATTTTTGAATATTCTTTCCATCCCTAGGCAATTGTTTCTATTATCAAACTGTTCTTACTGTCTAATGTTGAATCTAAATCTTGCCTCCCATAACTTACAACCATTAAGCTTAGTCCTGCCATCTGTGGGAGCAGAGGATAAACCTGTCCTCTGTTCTCTGTGGCAAACCTTGCATTATTTAGAGTGCCATCACATTACTCCTCAGTCTTCTCTTCTCCAACCTGAATAAGCTCAGCTCCTTCAACCTCTCCATATGTTTTGCCCTCCATACGTCTTATCAGTCTTGTTGCCTTTCTCTGAATCTGTTCCAACTTGTCTATAATCTTTTTAAAATGGGTGCCCAGAACTGAACACAGTACTCCTGATGAGACCTGACCAGTATAGAATATAGTGAGACTATTACTTCCCTCAACCTCAAAACTATGCTTGTACTCATGCAGACTAGCATTGCCTTCTTTGCTGCACTACCACACTGCTGGCTCATGGTCAACTTATGATCAACAGGAATCCCAAAGTCCTTTCTGTATGTAGCACTGCTGAGCCACAATCATATAATTGTAGCCTTGATTTTTGGGCCTAAATGTCGAATTTTGCTTTTGTCTCAATTGAATTTCATTTTATTAATTTATGCCCAACATTTAAATGTATCTAGGTCCTTTTGAATTCTGTTTCTACCTTCCAGTGTGTTACCTACTCCTTGGAAGACAGGAACAGAATCAAGTACCTTAGTTTTAGCAGGGACTTAGTTCATTTAATTATAATTAAAAGAAGAAGCAAAATTAATCAGATAGGCATTTCTGGAAGTGTGATGGGGTGGGTGTACAAAAATATTTTGGTTTTGCTTTATTTGAATATTTTACTTTTCTAGGTATAGGTGGAATGCAGGAAGAGGGAGATGTCACCCCAGTTCTCTGGAAATGAGCTTCCCCCTCCTCACTCAGACCACAAACAACTATTAACAAGTTCTTCTTTTCTTAAATAAGCATTTTCAAAAATTGAAATATTTTTCAAAAATGCCATGAAACAACATTTTCTCATTTCTGGACTAGTCAAATCGAACAGGAATTCTAATTCTCAGCATGGAGAGAGACATGTTGTGTATGTCTGCCATGTAGGTGTTAAAGATGAGGAGAGCTTCAGGAAAAAGAATGAGAAGAAGAGTTGGCCACCAATCCCACCTGATCCTGGAACCTAAGCAGAGTCAGCTGTAGTTAGGACTTGGATGAGGGCCCTCCAATAAATCCCAAGTGCTCTAGGCTATATTTCAGAGGAAAGAACTGGCAAAACCACCTCTGCATATCCTTTGCCTAAAGAAACCCTATGAAGTTCATGAGGTTGATATAATTCAACATATTAAGCACCTTGGATAGCTCCTAAAACCTGGATTCATCACCCCACCAACACAGGACCGCCAGTTTCCATGGGCCACTACATTTCAAATTTCTTGTTTCTTTCCCTTTGAAAACAAAAGATGGGCTGTGGGGTTGTTGTTTCATGGCACAACACAACATGGCATAAGGAAGGGACTTTTATATATTCAATACCCTCATATATTTCTATCCAAGTGATTCAGCAGTATCATCATCTGTAGGAAAGGCTGACAAGATGCCAACATCACAATCCCTTTTTAAAAACACATTTAATAAATAAAACATTGTGACAAAGAGGTCATTAAAAATCTTATAGGGAGACTGAACAACAGCTAACCACTCAGCAGCTGGTGTTCACCTCGCAGCTGCAATAACCACTGTGTTTCTAAAAACCCACTTTAACATCTCCACTTTCCCTCTTTGCTACTTTAATGCTTTCTAATACATTACTGCTGCTTTTAGAGCAGCTGCATTATTCATGCCAGTGGTAGGGTGGCCATTGTGTTTGTGGTTGCAGTTGAAATTTTGAATGCTTTGAATTGCCTCTTAAAGTGCATAACAGTAGCATTCAAAAAAGGCCCGGCTCTGGCTTTGTAAAATCCTCAGTGCTGAATGTCTCCATTGAGTTGGTGGCAGTGAGAAAGTCCTGTTTGACCTAGAGTGACCTTGCTGCTAGCCTGTGTTTCTCTCTTCTGTGTTTGGAGGATTTTTGGAAATAGGCATCAGCATCTTGGATGGCTACTTTCAAGTTCAGACTGAAAATTCAGAGTTCAGAGTAGATTCAAGTTCAGAGTAGATTCACTGACCCACTAACACAGAAACCACAAGTTCCCTCTTTCACTTCTGGGGAGGCATGTTCATATCTGACTATTTTGTCATGTAAGTAAAGATGAATAATTTCCACAGTTCTCTCACTGCTGTGAAGAAGAACAAATATTTATGCACAATTCTCACTTGGTTTTCACACATAGAGAGCCAGTGTAAGAAGGTATACAGCAAATATCTGTAATTTGATATTTCCTTAGCCCTTAGCATACCTGTATTCTGTGTCAGCCAGCATGGTGTAGTAGTATGAGCACTGGATTACAACACTGGAGATCAGGGTTCAGTTCCCCACTTGGTCATGGAAGCCCACTTGGTGACCTTCTGCAAGTCACACACTCTCAGCCCCAATACCAAAAGGAAAAGAATATTAAGAATAATCAGAGCAACAGCAAACCAGTTCTTATGACAGGAACTTCCCAAATTCTGACAAAATGATCCAGTCATAATCCATATGAATGGCACAACTTCTATAGGCCCTGTGCTTTTCCTTTCAGTCACCTTGGTGCTAGTGAAGTGGGAACCCTTACTCAGTTGCTGTTGTTAATTGCTATCAATTCAACCAATCAATGAGAGACCTCCAAGTCACCATGTTATTGATAGCTATGCTCAGGTCTTGCAAACTCAGGGTCATGGCTTCCTTGACTAAGTAGATCCACCCATAATGCACTCTTCTTCTTTTCCCGCTACCTTACCAAACATTGTTGTCTTTTCTGGTGAGTCATGTTTTTGCATGATATGTCTAAAGTACAGCAGTGTCAGCTTAGTAATCTTGGCACCTAGAGAGAATTCAGGCTTGATTTTTTTTCAGGATACTAAACCCTGCCATTCTTGCTGGCTATATATATCATGTATATGCTTTGTAATTCTAGATGATGGGTATACTAGAAAAGTGATGATACTGGGTAGAAAGAATGTTTATATTTTTGAAGCTGGCTAATGAGCAGATGTGAGGAAAGGAAAAATGAACTTTGAACTGTCAAGATCAATTTGATGAGAACACTTGGGTGCGGAATGAGAGGGGTAGTCCTGGGAATGGGAATGTTTTGGTTTGAAGACTCATAGAGAGTGAGTATGCAAACATGTTTGAATTGCTATATGCTTTTAATATAACTAAAAGTGTCTCTGTCCTGACAAAATCACTATGCTGTGCACAACATTGTTTTACTGAAGCTTGTGTCTCTGGGCTGAAGTTAGCCAGTACATGACAGATTTGCAATAGGTTTCATTTATTTGTCTTTTTGGCAGTCCATGCTATCTGCAGAACTCTCTCCTAGCACCACATTTCAAATGAGCTGAAATGGTAAAACACACCTTTGCATGCAGTAGGTCCCAAGTTCTATCCTTAGCATCTCCATTTAAGAAGATCAGGTGTCTGGAGCTGGAGAAATACCTCTCCCAGAGAACCTTTGGAACTGCTACTGATCAGAATAAGGGGCTGGGCCCAAGTTG